AAACGAGTCAAGAACTAAAACTCAATGCCAGACAGAATCTGTTTAAAGTTTGTAATTCGAATAACAAAAGACGTCCGTTTATTTTTCAGAAGTTCATACCGCAGCTGTTCGATCGGTGCATTGAAGTCATTTGTGTTTAGTAACTTTTAGTTAAGGTACTGTGTTGGATGTCTTATACTGTGTTCTTATTAGATCTTCGGAAAAATGTTTGCCATTGTTATTAGGTTTTCAATCACCATAACGCGGAAATTTTGAAGATCCAAAAACAGAAAATGATAAATTGTACGCTACACACAGTGCAATTTATAAATTTTTGGACGCACCTGGACTTGTTTTATAAAAATAACTAAACCAATATGAGTTTGTACAGAACCGAACCTTGACACTTTGATTTATTTTTGTAAGTTAATTTGATTTATATGAGTTTTACCTTTAGGTAGCTTCGTCGTTTGGCTGAACAATTTAGTAATACTTCATGTTAAACTTCAAGTATTTTATGTTTTTAACGTTGGTCAACTTTGGAAATATATTTAATTGACTAACAGAAACCAAGATTTGGAAAAAAACTATAGAAGCGACCCCAACGTACCCAGTTTCATTTGATGTGAAAAGCCCTTTTATTTTTACACGATATTATCTTAGTTTATATATGTATATATTATTAGAAATAATTTTATTTCCTGGGCGATAACTAAACGAAGGACTGAAGTAGGAGTAGGATTATCTTAATCAATACGAAAACGCAGATTTCTTTTCCATGTGTCTGTCTGTCTGTCTTCGGTCTATCACGAAGTCGATTATTTTGAAATTTTAAACGTACTTTATTTTCTGTGCCATTTCTAAAACAATTTTGACTTATCAGGGACCAACTAATCAAAAATTGCCTACATAGATTTAGTATAACGACCACTTACATCTGCATCTGCGCTTTTTTTTACAAGGCTACCCACAACCTACATTTTACTGCTTTTAAAAATATTTTTATCAATACAAATAAAAGCAAATTACTCCTGTCAATTCGTAACTGATGAGGCCAAATGAAACAAAGTGTGGAAATGTTCCAACAATTTATTTTTATTTTATCGATTTTTTTAACTGCGTTGTTTGAAAAATAAAATAGCCTCTAATCTCTGCTCTTATTCTAATTATCTAGAATATAAAAAAAATCCCCATTATACAACGAACAATAAATTTCAACCTTTCGAAAATCGCATGTAATATTATCCTTTTTCGATCATCCACGGAGATGCGAACACGAAACCGTCACATTAACTTTAATTTGAATATTAATGCCACTGTCACAGCTTTTATGAATGTATCCTGACGCCAATCGTGATCGTTATTTGAGAATATGTCTGCTATATAAAATTTTTCCCTCGAATAAATCACATCGACTGAATTTAAATTGTCATTTGATCTGCCTATTTACAGATTTAAATAGTATCCACAATTATATATGTTCAAACAGTTGCGGAAAATTGGATCGCGTCCCAGAATATGAAAGCATTATGCACTGCTATCAACGCACTCATCTTTGATGTCGAAACTATTATCACCACCAGTCTAAGTAATTGAAACTAAATTGCTATAAATAAATAAATGCGTAATTGAGCCCCTTATCCACCAGACTAGTCACCACAGGAGTTTTTATCAAAAAGACAGGAAATCCTAATTATTGGCATTGAAAATTTTGGATAACTGATAAAAGTAAGTTATTTTTAAACTACGTTATAGATCAAATCGGAAGTGCATAAGACGTAACATTCCGTTTTAATTAGTTGTATTGTAATTAGAAACAGTTTCATCATTTCGGCGCCAACACGAATTTAATGCTTATAATTTGAATAACGATTAACCAAAAATGATTTTATTTGTTCAGCCAAATGTATTGCTTGTTATTAATTAAACAGAATATGTTAATTAGGCGATAATTGAATAATAATAAAAAATAAATACATTGTTGAAATATTAGTAGTTGGGCAAACGAGATTTTTTAACGAAAAGTTTTCTACTCATTATGACAAAATTTTTGTACGGGAAAAATAAAAGTATTTAAAGTATTTGTATCCACCAAAGTTGGTTAATTAGTTCTCGCTTTTCTGAACACGTGCGTGGTATGGAAGTATATGGGTTGGAATATTTTGGTGTAAAATATTATTTGTCATTCAGATCAATTTATTCTACATACAAATTGCTTGGGTTTATTTATAGCAGCTCAAATTAGAAGAATAAATGTAAAAAAATGGTTTAAAGTTATTTAGATAGAATTCTCCTCGCCCCTATACATGAATCCTCCTGTGTTATTTGATGAAATTTAACTTTACTACGCAAAGTTTCGAAGTGACGTCATCACGTTGTTGGTGGGGATTTTGCTTAGCGTTTTACCATCTACACGATAGATATTCCCATAATACGTAAAATTTAACAACAATTGGTTCATTAGTTTCTCAGATTATTTGTCTAACAAAATTTGAGAGCAATAGGTTTCCCAGATTCTAAGAAAAAAGATATTAAATTGCTTCAACTGGATATGCTGAATTTGAAACGTAATAACAAGACACTAAAAATTTACAATTAGAAGCAAGATTAAGGTCGGTTAAAAGTGACCAAAGTATGTAAACATTTTTTATTACGTGAGTAACAAGGAGAAAAGACTGCAATATTTCTAAAGTTCATAAAAACACCATTACATCAGCAAGTTTTGAATTTATTTAGACATACGAAAATAATTAACATTGACATTATTTTAATTTTTGGAAATGAACAAGGTCACCGTTGTTGCAAATTAATTTTTTGGGTGACAATTCGCAAACGATGAAAGTATTTCAACATTTCTTTAGTATAAAAGTGTCACAAACGTGACTCATGCGAATGTATAAATTTTATTTTAACTTTTTCGTTATTTTGAGTACACAATAGTGTGCAGTCAGATCTTGTGTTTTCGGTAGATTTGTAAAAAAATAAATTTTTCTTTAAAAAGTGTATCAGAATTCGTCTATTTCGTCTGTGATCATTGTTAATATTTTTAAATACTTTGTTATTTTCATTCAGTGCGTTTGCAGTTGCAAGAATTTGCTCATCAAATCACACTTTAAATGAAATATAATTTTAGGACAATAAATAAATGTGTTAAGACTGCCAAGTTCTAAAGTTAGTAATTCTACGAAAAGTGCTTTATTTCACAGAATTAACGAACCATTATTACGAAGAAGTCTCAACTTTTAAATATTTTTTATTATTGTGGCTCTATAGCGTTTAGTTATGGATTTATGGAAAATTTGAAGGATTCGGGTGATCATTCTTCGACATGAACAATTGTTGAAGTTGGCCGAAAACCCATTAAAATATTGTGTTCATTTGTTATATTTGTTTCCTTTTTTTGAAAAATAAAATTACATTGAACATTTTGACGATGACATTTTTTTTTCGTAGTACCGATGTTAGTTTCTTTAAAATAAATATAAGTATATCGTATATTTCAGACGTTTTCAACATTTCAAACTCTACAGATCCCAAATAAACGAAAACATTTGTAAATAAAACCCTAATTGTTCAATAATTTACATAAATAAGTGATCAATTAATACATTATGTTGCAAATGCTGCAACAAAACAAATGATAACTTGTTCAAGGTTGAAAAAACAGTATTTAATTTGATAGTTAATTTATTTTTATGTAAGTATTTGTAGTCACTACAACTTTTGACTTTGTGGAATCTAGACTGGTTTAAATATAAGTACGACGACGCAGTTGACTGAGTGTGTTCATAAGATGGGCAAAAAAATTAAGAAAGCAAATATTCAAAACAGGTTAATTTACTTTTTTATACTGTTTGAAGTTTAGGACCAAATTTTGAGTTTTCCTGCTAAAATGGTGATGCCATCAATATTTTTAAATGGTAACCACATTAATTACATGTTTAAATAACACATACTTCAAAAGAGAAAAAAAGTGGTGCTACATCTTGAAGATTAAAAATGCAACAAAAAATGTAAATATTGTGACAAACTGTGAGAAATTAAATTTAACCAAAACAATGTGTTCATATTTTAAATAATCACAGAAATCGGGATATGTTTAATGGTCATTTTTTTTGTCTTACAATATAACAACAGGTGAAAAACAGTGAAGAAGCATTTGACACGATCAAAATTTTGGCTAAATTTCAAATTTAATTATTGTTTGCATGTTTTGCTCATAATATTGCCTATTTTTCCAGCACTTAACATTTAAAATTTTATATGGTACCATGGGTTTTTATTTTCCTTTTAAACACGCACTAAAAATCATGACTCGAAGTTAAAAAATATTATCAATAACGTCATAGCTTTGACGTCAGACCAAACATTTTAAATTCTCTCTAAAATATAGACTGTTTCACCAATTTTGCCTGTTTAACATAAACTCTAGAAAAAGTGAAATCAAATATTTTCGAGTATGATGATTTTTAAAATAGTAATCAACAAAGTCGAGATTGTCACTATGTGTCGGAAGCCTAAATGAAAGCAACTTTCTCCTGTGTGTATACAGAAAATGCGTTCTGGAATTTTTAGTACAGTAGATTAGACCCGGACATCGTAATTCAAGGATAAACGTTGTTAATACATTGAGAATATAATCGACAACTCAAAAAAATGGAAAAATGTATGCAAATCCGCTATGGAAACTTTCAGTAACAAAATTTTGCGCGCCAAAAAACCAAATGACCAAAAACTGCGTAGAAAAATGGATTTACACATAACCTACAATCATCATTTTGTTCGAGAAATAGCTTCGAATTTATTGCTATTTTTATGCGCACTTAAAGATCAAATTTAAGAACTACACAGTGAAATTAAGTTTCTAATTGCCGTTCATTGTTATGTTTCGCATTTGATGTGTATTTCAGACATATAAAATAGTTAAACTTCCAAAACTAAAGCAAAATTTAGGCGTCATTATCAAATTTCACTTTGTTGTGAGCTATCACATGAAAACGTTAATAAAAAAAAACACTAACCTCGTCAGCACTATAACAGTGACGGCGTTTCCACCAACCCCGATGCAGACCATGAGAGGCACAAGCACCCTTTGAATCCAGAATCTTGTAGACTCCAGAAACTGGACTGAAGGATCGTCGTTGACTTCATCCATTATCAAAACTGCAATTAATGAAAAAAATCCAGTAACAGAAACGCACACATCACATTATCACTTTCTTCTGAGTTGCTCATTTGTGTACTCGCTTAAGGCGAGCACACAACAGCACTAAACTTATTTGCCAAAATTTTAAAATGACGTTACAAATCGGGTTGAAAATCAGCCAAGAAAGGTGTTTAGCCGCGGTAATACACCGAAGTGCAGTTACTAAAATTAAAGCTGCTCCACTCTCATTGTTTACAACCGTCGAAAACAAATCATTTCGGAGATTATTTACTTTTTCAGGTTCTCTTTTGATGAATCAAAGTAGGTCAACGTGGTGATTAGTTTATTGGAAACGTACCAGGAAGCGATTTTTTCGGGTAAATTTCAAGTGCATTTTTTTCAGAAATGAAAGAACGATCGCTGCGACGACTTTAAATCGAAGTGCCTAATTATTACGACACAATAAATTTTACTGTTATGGTAGGATCGGTTTGGTTGGAGATCAGGAGGAATTTAAATTGATTTATTTAGCCCATAACAGCCAAGGAAAAGGAGCATACTTAGGAACTACTAAAACAAAGACTTGTTGTTTTTCAATGGAACTCGTCGCGTTTTTTGGACACGCATTTATTCCACGTGCGAGCATAATAATTAATTTTAAACCATTAAAACACTATACCATTATTTTATTGCGACGAAAGTAAAAGATTATGTTACAACATTTAACGCAACTATTATTTCTCAATTAAGTATAAAATAACCTTCGCAAGTGTTAATGTAAGAGACTTATACTTACAGTGGAAATGATGCCTTAGAACACTATCATATTCTTGATGGATAACTTATAAACCCAGATACAACGTAGAAAATTTTTAACTGAAAGACAAACATCACTGTTCCAAATACCACCATGGCAAAACTGTCCAAATCTGAAACAAAAACAAGGATTTTAAATTATTTTTGATTAAGGTATTTCATGTTAAAACAACATATAATGAACCCGTTTCGCCGTAAAACCGCACTTTTGTTCTTTGTTTTCCTCCGCATTTTTTTCTTATGGAAAACCGAGGTTTCTCAGGTAAGCACTCCCATTTTGCGATTTAAACTCTAATCTTTTATTGCTGATATAATGCCCACGCTTTAACAATTGTCGTAAATTCGTAGGTGGCGTAGTATTTTGCAACATCATTACCGTACTTCAGTTCAATGTTAATTGTTTAGTTCGGAATATTTTTTTTACCTGAATTTTTTCCCGATTTTTTTCAACACATATTCAGTTCAGTTCATAAAATCAGTCACAGTTCACGTTCGAGTCACTGATGTTAACTAAAAGTCAGCATTGTTGTCAATGGGCTGCAGCTTAAGGACTCGTAAAGCTCGCAGGTTCCGGCACACAACTGAAGGAGCAATATTGAGCATGCATGCTGTAGCTTGGACAGTCAGAGACAATTTAAATTTAGACCAATGCTAAATTATTATTGGACTACCTCGGTGATTTCCTATTCTAAACTCATTAGTCCTGAATCGAAGAGTTTATTATATGGATCTCGATGCACTTTAAGACGTTGTGTAAATATTTAAGATTTTTCTTGGCGCTAACTACCATTAGGCAAATGTTATAAACAAATAAAAATACCTTTATAATGTGCTTAAATTTATTTTATTGGACCTGCCTCGTGATTTTTCGGAATACCGACTACAATACGGTTTAAATAAAATTTATTTTAGGATCAGAATTTCGCTAAGAATTAAAAACAGCTTTTAACAACAAGGAAATGTTACGTAATTTATTTTGTTTGTATACTTATTTAAATACAAGAAGCTCGTAATTATTTGACGACTTGTCTTTGCTTAATGAGTTAATTTGAATAAAAATAAACACTCCGGACTAACAGTAAGAACGAAGAATTTAATTTAAGAGATTATTTAATAATTAAAATGATTTATGCGCTGAATTAAGTAAATTAATTTTTACGACTACCAATTTATTATTTGTTGTTTTTGATCAATTCCGACACACTAAAATGTAAACAAATTTTAGCGTTTAGCCTTATTACCGACAAGTTTTTTAATTCATAGCACGCAAGAGGACACCTGTTGTTATAGAGACCTGTATTTGTCACATGTGTATTCATGTTTGCATATTTACACACATAGCGGCATCGTTTATAAAGTTAACGTTCTGCGTTTGTTTTGTGTGCACTACATTGGAATCTTTGTTTTGCTTCAACAAAGCCAGCAACATTGAAAACCCGCAGTGTAATTTGAATAGACCATTCATAAATATTATAAATAGATTTAATGGAGTTTTGAAGTTCTGCATATTTATAATCATAACATGATAAAAATATTAACTACTATTTTTACTGCATGGTCATTACAATTCCTGACGTAGGAAAACACAAAATAAGTCTAATTGAATTCTGGTGTTTCTCAAAACATCAAATTTAATTGTGTATATTGTAACTGATGAGCTTTTTAAAAATTTGCTACAGAATATCTTTAAAGAATAGATAATAAGTTACATGAAAGTTGAATTATGCCACACTTTGTCAACCAACAATGAATTTACAGTGAGGTTAAAATATGGCACACTTTATTCATAATTCTAAACAACAAAAACAGGATGTTATAAATCATGTGTTTTTTCAAATTATTAATTATATCAAATAGATTAACGCGTGGACCGCAACCCCACATCACATACAAAAAAAAAACATATATTTAATTAGATCAAAATCAAAATCAACTGGTCACGGAAGCGCTACGCTTGAGAGCGGCGCGGTCGAGAATAAAGGTTCAATTCAAGCCGCAATAAAATAATACTAAACCTTCAAGAAAATAATTATGCCTGAAACATACTATTAAACCTGTAAGAAAATATTAAACCCCTCCCGTTTTTCGAGTCCACGAGGATATGAATTTTACCGCACTTTTCAAAGTCCTTTCCCGCAGAATGGACTAGTGTTTAGATTAGTTTAAATGCCATAAATGCACTATTAGCAATCTCGAGTGAGAAATTAAAACTTAATAAACAAATGAATGAAGCCGACTAAGTGAATCTCATAACAAATGGTTTATCTGAACAATTTCATGACTGTTAAATTGTGTTAGAACCAGGAACAGTTAAAAATCTTATCATGAAGTGTGAATTTACAAACAATAAATAAAAGTTGACACCACGTGAGCGAAACTTCACATTTCAGAATAAAAAAACATTAATAAACAATTACGCTTGTGGTAGAAACTGTGGTGTCAGTAGGATTAATTTTTGTTTAAGCAATGGTAATTTTACGATACTACAAATTAATAGGTACCCTTAAGGCTCACCACGTGTTTACACTAACTAACTAATTCAAACTGGGACACCACACACTTAATATTTATTGTATTTTCAAATTTAATTCCTGAGGAGTCAAAACATATCTACAAGTTTTGATGCAGAAAAGGTATTGGGGACATATTTTGGACAATTAAACAAGAAAATTCCATCAACATTATGGGCCCACTATTCGATGAAATTGTTCAATTGCAATTAATGTTTTTAAAAAATAAAAAAAGGCAGTAAATTTATGGTTACATATAACATAATAAATCACACTACAATATACGAAGAAAGCATACAGTTATCATTAGTAAATTAAGATAAAGCAATCCCACTAACTTATTTTATCTTCTTGGTTTGACAATAGTATATTACAAATATATATTTTACAAGGTCAATTATTATTATTATACGACTTTTACAAAGAAGAACAAGGATGACAATGACCTTATAAAACTAGTTTTTATACCATTTTTATTGAGGAAATTAAACGTCTTTATTTAAAAAAAACATAAATTTACCGCATGATCAGAAATGACTGAGTCTGTTGGTGATTCTGAATTTTTAACTGAAATTGGTATCATTGTATCCAAAACATAACCTAAATTTATCGCATGTCACGATTGACATATCTATCACACAATTATGTACTTCCGTTATGCCAACCTAAACGCAAGAAAAGTTCACTTTTTTGTTTAAAAAGTACTGCCAACAGACTCAGTCATTTTTGATCAGGCGGTGGTTATTTTGCCAATCTTAGGCACACCAAGCTGCGACAAATAAAAAGATTGTTCATAAGCAAGGTTGTTCTTAGATAGAAACTAATTTTATCTGAGCTCAGCTTACCTTGACTAAGTTAATATATGGATTTACAAATTCGCCGGGAATTCCTTAGTACCTTCAAGTCAAATAAGATTTTTAACCGACAAAACGCGTCGAATAACATGAAATTCGTTCCACAGCAACTAGGGTCAATTATACCGGGTGTCTGGAAAATGGCGGATTAACTCTCCGCTACGCTTTTAACAATTTATATTTTTACGTTTTTTTTTTAGTATACAAAGTCTTTTTTCCCAACAAGAAACTGAAAACATGTTAACTATTGTGCTGTTGAAAGAAAACTCTAAATAAAAAAAAAAAAACAAAGTATAAACCCCACCCACCTGCCCCGATCTCGATTGTGATAAATCTTTCATTCGTCGTTAGATCGAGGGGCGGAGTTTATTAATTGTAACATGAAAATTTCCCTAGAAAATTCTACCCTTTAAAAACATATTTCATAACGTACTTTCTTGTAGAGAAATGCGGGTTTAGCAACTAAACTCCACCTTTCAACTCACAATGAATAAAAAATTCATCACAATTGAGAAGGGGTGGGTGGGCGGGGCTTATATTTTGTCCCTTTTTTTGTTAATATACGAAGACTTTTTTCCCAACAAAAAAAAAATTAAAAAATTAAAAATTTGCAGAATGAAATAAACGAACGAAAAATTGTAAAATCAGAAAAAACAGTGAAAAAATGAAGGAAATGAAACGAAAAATTGTGAATAAAATTAAGAAAATGAGAAATAAAAATAAAGAACTTGAAAATTGAGGAAACAAAAAATTGAAAAATCGAAAAATTAAAACTTGAGAAACTGTGGACGTAAAAAATTTTACAATTTTTCAATGTTTCAATTTTATAATTTTTTGTTTTTTTAATTTTTCGTTTCGTCAATTTTTCCATTTGCAATCTTTCTTTCTACAATTCTGCGATATCTCTTCATTTTAAAATTTTCCAGTTTTCCGATATTCCAGATTTCGAAAATTTCAATTTTTACATTTTTCAGTTTTTCATTTCTTTTATATTTTTTTCCCCAACAAGAAAATGAAACATGTTAACTATCCTGCTGTTGAAAGCAAACTCTAAATATAAACAAAAAATATATAAAGCCCACCCGCCCGCCCTGATCTGGATTGTGATGAATTTTTCATTCGTTGTTAGATCGAGGGGCGGAGTTTAATAATTGTAACACCGAAATTTCCCTAGAAAATTTTACCCTCTAAAAACGTATTTCATGTGGTAATTTCTTGTAGAGAAATTAGGATTTAGCAACTAAACTCCACCCTTCAACTCACAATGAATAAAAAATTAATCACAATTGAGAAGGGGTGGGTGGGCGGTATATATATTTTGTTCATTTTTTTCTTAGTATGTATGTAACTGTTTATTTCTTTCCCATTCGGAACTTGAAAGAAGTCCGGTTTACATTTTTCCCTTAATATATCTATATATGTACAAATATATATCAATTAAACATATTTTAACTTAAACTAATATTCTTTCTCGAAATGCTTCCTTATTTTCGTTTCTTTTCTAATATCATTTTCATCCATTCCAGACCATCACCTGTTTCGTTCAATAGCTCATTCCTATCTTTCTCGACTTCCCGTAACTCTTCACAATCCTTTAGCCAGTGTTCAATCGTCTCCGGAAATTCCCTACATAATCCGCATCTTCTATCCTCTTCCTCTTTCCAGTAACAGTTTTCTCCTTCTTCATTTCCCACCCTAAATCTGGCTATTGTCTTTCTGTCTTCATTCTTTCTCCCTCTTATTAGATACTCCGGTAATTTTAGACCTCCTATTATTTCTCCATATTTTGGATTATATCTGGACTCTGCTATTTTTTTCCTTTGCTCTTTTCTTTGTAACTCTTCATCTAGATTTAAAATTTCCTTCCTGGGCTCTGCTCCCTCTATCCTTTTTCTCTCTACTTCTTCTGCCGTTAGACCTCTTACTTCGTAAAATTCTCTTCTTTCTTCCGCTGTCTTCTTATAATTTACCCTTATCTCTTCCCACATTTCTTTCATTATTTTGCATTCAACGTTCTGCCTGATCTTCTCTTCAAATTTCATTGCCCTTCGTGCTGCTTCTATTCTTAGTTTTTCTCTCTTCGTTTCCTCTAATACAATGTACTCTGGTGTCTCTTTTTCCAACCCTAACGTCCATTTCAAATACTTTGCCTGTACTCGTTCTAGACTCTCCCTTTCCTTCCATCCCCAGATTTCAGCACCGTACATAATAACACTTTTTATTAAGCTGTCGAAGAGCCATATTCTTCTAACGAAATCGTTCTTCAACCT